AAAAAATACCTCTATGGGTCTACAGGGAATTTGTCTACGAGAAGAGTTCGCACGCCCAGTTCTCTGACACGGACCTAAACCGCGTAGACGTCGACTGTGCTCAAATCCAGGTTCGCCTAACGGTCGACTCGCCAGCATGAGTCAGGAGCGATCAGGATGGCGGAAATTTGCTCTTCGCTCAACTCGCCTGCCCGAGTTCGGAGTCGAATCCGCCAGCAAGCCCCAAAACCGTCAGTACAGCTGGGTATCCACTACCCCACGTGCTGAGGTGGGCCTTCCCACCTCTCTCGACCCAAAGGGAGAGAGAGCACAGTACCCCAGGGCCGTCAAAACGGCCGCCCACAGTGCGCACAGCGCGAAGGAGCTGGACAGGTGTCGAGTCAACCTGAGCATTCATAAATGCGACTCACCTCGGCTGTCTGAGTCTGGAGCTGGGTCCGCCGGCACTCGGCAAGCTGGCTAGACTCACTCGAGTACTGTACACCTACTTCACCGCCTCTCCTGACCGGAAAGGAGAAAGCGTCGTGCTCAAAGCACGCCGGGCGGTCACGCACAGTACTGGTGATCGGACAGACGCCTCATCGATCTGCGGACTCATAAATGCGGTTCATTAATGCTGGTCAAATCCACTCGGATAGTAGTCGTTTGTTGCCTCACATACAAGAATGGGCCTTCCCATCGTAGGTGACAGGACATAAAGCACAATCCCTGGAATGACCGATCATGGTTTCGAGGAACAGCTAGACGTCTCTGAAGAAGATGTGGTCACATCCCACAATTCAAGGAGGAGTCAAGTTGTCCTTCTCCCATTTAAAAGCCTCTTCCGGCACACTGGAGAGGAGGTCGCAAAACTTAGGAAAAAGAGTTGAGACCAAGCTCTCTGCACAACTTTCTTTGCATTGCAGCACTACTGCTTAGTTCCGAGCTCCGATCGCCGGCGAACTAAACAGACCCGAACTCTCTCAAGTTGAGCTTCTACTGCGAACTGAAGCTCTCCAGCAACCTCATTCGAACGGTCCAAGGGAAGCAGACTCGACCCGAGCATCGAGCGAAGCATCCTGTAGCCACCTAAAAGTCCCCACACAAAACAAAGAGGACCTTCCCTCTGCTTCTGTTATAACTATTTGATCATTAGTTTGTAATAAGCCTTCTTATAAATACAAACGAAACTCCCTCTTTCGGGAAATCAAATATCCACCCTACACTGACCTTAAAGGTAAAGGAAAAGTAGGATAGAATCAAAGTTACTTTTATGAGTTGAGCCTCGGGGAGCCGCTCATTTGATTCCCACTTTCTTAAAGAAGCTTTTTTCAAATGACAAGCTTTTATAAAGCTACTTTTGAAAAGTAGATGCCTGGCTCTGCCATGTGTCTTTTATTCTATGTATTTTATTCTCTCCCAGTCTATATAAGAGGAGAAACTCTGTATTGTAAGGTGTGCGTTTCTCAGTCTATGTTTTTATTTTCAAAGTCAGTGTGAGTTTGTTGTGTGTTAAGTTCTCTTGTAAGAAATTCTATAAATAAAGATTGTGGAAGAAGAAGTTATCCTAAGAGTGGGTAGCCGAACTTTGTAAGTTCTTTCGTTCTACTTAGATTGTATTTCAATTTTATGCATGTTTAAAATTGGTATCAGAGCACTTCTATTTTTCATGCATGATGTAAACCATGGGCCTCACAATTAGAATTTGCTTTAAGTGTCCTATACAAAGCCCTTCCATTTGAGAGAAACATTTTTCTCTCGGTCAGCAAGAAAATCATAGAGGAGAGAGAGCAATGGGAGTGGATCAAATTAGGAGGGGGCACCTCTAAGGGCAGGTGTTCCTCAACTTGCTTTATCTTTTCAAACATATCACTTTTCTTATAGATCTCAGTTAGGTTCTCATTTATATTGATTTAAACATTTTTTTTGGTTTGACCTTGATAGAAAAATGTGAGATGAGCAATAATATATCTAGGGGTGTTCAACCGGCTCGGCCCGGCCCGAAAAACCATGTCTGGGCCCGGCAAAAAAGGGGTACTCGGACCCGGGCCCGAGTGGACTGGGTAGTAGGCCAGCTCGGTTTATTTTCATTTTTTGCTTAAAAAATTAGTTTTTTGTAAAAAAAAAAATTCAAGAGTAATTAAAAATAAAATATGCAAAATTTTGAGAAAAAAATCAATCATATTATTAATCACTTTGATGATTGGGAGAGTAGAGACTGACGGATGTCTCCTCGAGACGTTGCCGCTTGAGCTCTATTATGCTTTTCAAAATGGCGTTTGAGGTGGTTGGTGCCGCTTTTTATGATGAGCTTGGAAAATATGACCACACAATGCACATTTAGCTTTCTCGGTGAGAAGTTTACCGTGTTGATCCTTGGTGACTTCTATCTTCTCAAAAAAAGTTACACACATCGGATCTTGGCCTTTTAGGAGCTCTAGGTGTGTGATCATCACCACTAGATTTGGGATCAACATCGGTAGGAGGAGTAGCTGTAGATGTAGTAGGAGTAGGAGTAGAACTCATTTCAATATTGGGAGTTGGAACTTACCCTTCATAATCGGAGGAGGAAGCCATTTGATTGGAGAAATAGAGAGTGAAAGAGAGAATAAGAGAGTATTAGAGAGTATAAGATAGTTGTAGGCATTAAAAATGCCGAACTTCAAGATATGATAAATCAGGTCCGAAGCTTATCATTAGAAACGATGTTTGAAACTCGTCGTTGGAAACAAGGTTCGAAACTCGTCATTGGAAACGAGGTTCGAAGCTCATCCTTGAAAACGAGGCTCGAAACTCATCCTTGAAAACGAGGCTCGAAACTCGTCATTAGAAACGAGGTTCGAAGCTCGTCATTGGATACGAGGTTCAAAGTTCGTCATTGGATACGAGGTTCGAAGTTCGTCATTGGAGGTGAAGTTCGTCAATGAAGACAAAGCTTATCATCAGACGTAAAGCTCGTTAGTGAAGATGAGGCACGTCAAAATGGAATTCACAAGACTTGCTACGCAGTTGGACTTAGCTATCTGATGAGCAAAATCCGCAAGCGCACGGACTCGTTGTAGCTATCAAGGTCGATCCCACAAGGACTAGGGTTAATTACCAAATCTCACGTTATTCGACTAGCTAAATCAATGAGTAAATTAGAAGAGATTTAATAAAAAATAAAATAAACAACTAATCGGATGGAATTCAATATAATGAAGGACTAGGATTGGGTTATCACCACAACTTAGGTGTTCAATGATGAATTATTTCAATTCTTGGTGTTGGTTTAATCTAGAAAGGGTGAATTAGCCTAAATTAATCTAAAGCCTCTTTCAAAGTCTAAAGATCGTGCCTAATCAATCCCAATTAACCTACTTTCGTGGAATCAAGATTAAATTAAACCCATTAAGCTTTATGCTAATCCAAATCAAATCCCCAAGGAATCTAGCCTACTTTCGTGGTTCGAGCTCCCTGCTTAATTTCTAGAGATCCGGTATTAATCTTCACCTTTCAGTCCTTCAATTAATTACCTATGATTGCTAATACGGTGATCAAGCGAATCAACAAAATTAAAACACAAGAAATTAAGTTTAAAGATCTAAACTTTCACCAAGAACATATATTAATTCATCATCAATCACCAAAAAGTTGGGTTCTTTCCCAACCCTAGACAAGAAATCTACTCACACATGATT